AATACGGACACCCTGTATATACCAAATATTAATTTTAATAATTGTAATGTCTCCTTTTTTCGACATCCAAGTAACATGTCATTCGAAGGTAATGCGATTTGCTATTTTTTATACCTACTTATTATTTTATCATTTTTCGAATGTACACAAATATAACATTTATTTTATAGTTATTTATTCTGCGTCCTATAACAATAACATATGCAGGGTGTTGCATTTAAACACAAAAAGTTAAGGTCATTTCTGACTAAATCGGAAGTAGAAGACATTACGATTATTAAATGTATTAATATTTAATATACAGGGTGCCCACAATGTATGGAGTATATAGTATACGAGTATCGATAAATATCCACTGTACACAACATTTTTCTAGATTAAAGTTGTTTAACATTTTATTTCCCATAGCAAGGCAGCATTCAGTTGTTTTTATTTCAGAAAACAAATGAGTAACGAAAAACAATCTCTTTCATTTGAACAATTGATTGCAGGCCAGTTCACGTTCATTTGTTTATTTTGATGTAGGATATCTAGATTAATGTTATTGATTTTCTTGTATAAAGGTACTAACAACTATCAAATGAGCCGAACGAAAGGGTATTTAATAAAATTGATTTTCGTTATTCATCTGTTTTCTGAAATAAAAACATACGAATGCTGTCTTATTATGGGAAATAAAACGTTAAACAACTTTTATATACACACATTTTGTATACAGTCGTTATTTACCGTGATATATACTATATATCTATACACAGTAGCCACCCTGCATAAGCACCAGCATTTGTTTTATATCGATGACAACATGATTCATGTGCATTGGACCAACTGGTCAGTTAGGTAGTCTTCTATAATTGAAGCAAACACTTGAGTTTACAAATTATAAAAAAAGTGTATAAATTGTCTCCACTATAAAAACTCTTAGAATTATTGAAGGGCTGTTTAGAACTCGAGCCAGAACTTCAAAGTTCACATTTCATGCACTTTTGCTATCCTTCACGATTTTTTATTATAAGGTCAATGATGGGGATGACTAAGACATAAAAAAAGTATTTCATTATTAAGCGGCATAAAAAAGTTTAAAAAAAATTGATAGGCTGTTCCATTAAAAATACTATGCCCATACACACCACTTTTGTGGAACACCCTGTATGTCTTATAATTTAATTTTTAATGTGATCGCACAATTAGGGGTACTAGTTTTACTCGAACCTAAATTTGATCTGCATTTCGACTAGCGGAAAATGGTCCTGTTCCATTTTCAATGCGCCGCGCCGCCCTGTATTTCTAGTTTTATATTTCTTACTAATTTTTGGGCGAGCTAGTGAACGATTTTTAAATTATTTAATTCTAAATTTCCGAAATTAATCCCACATTTTTTGGAAGCATAACTATGTGGAGAACCACTTTTACTTTTACGGTTGCGTTCTGACAACACGAGATTTATTTATCGAAATTAATAATAAGCACACCCATTCATGTAATTAATTGATTGTTCTACCGTCAGCCGTCACTTCAAGGTGTGCGAAAGTATGATGGTGAAATTGCGATACTTACAACACCAATTTTTAGTACGAGTTGTATTAGAAATACCGAAGAAAAAAATTGTTGCCCATTTGCTTATAATTTAATACTGCCATGTAATTTTACGTATTAGATGTAGTATTTTAAAAATCACAGAGTTTAATAAAAGTACTAAGTGCGGAGATCTCAAGCACCGAGATGGACAAAGGTGTAGAAGAGGAGATCAAACCAAATAGTTTTTAACGAATACGGTTCGTTCTATTGAAGGGTTGAATAAAGCTATAGTGGGTATAGGATTTCTTTATCGGCGTGTGTGAGCTTTTTATGACTGGATTTTACATGTTAATGTTTCAACGCCTTGTTAGCTAACAATTTTTGCGAAAATTACAAAGTCCAGCACTAATATTATTCAATATTAACGTTTTGAAGTTATTTACTTCCTTTCCTTATGAAAATTTGTTGAAAAACTAGCGTATCAAATCCTATGGCCAGTCTTTAAAAAAACGCACTGTATAAGTTGTTTTCTTTGTTTTCCAAATTTCTTAATGAAGATTTTATTAACATGTTGTTAAGGCTGAAAATTTTAAGTGCGGATCTATGCAAAAATATACGGGATGTCGATACTTATAATTGTATTTGACCATTCTAATCCTGAGAAAAATGCTTCAGTAGCTAATAACTTCGTAGTTCCAATAATAAGGAGGCTGAAACACCCTGTAAAAATTCTAAAAGTAGGCCAATTATACAGGACCCTGCAACAAGTTCGTCGGTCTTCTTCTTAGCTCGTACTTCGTAAAAGATATATTTAAAAAACCGTGTGTGCAAATGTCAACAGATAGTTGCGCATATATAGAAATTATTTTGAATGTACAGGGTGTCTGTATATTTTTACATGTTTCGATGTCATTTCTTAACGTTGTTAACTTTTTGATTTTTTGTCATTGCTGCCATTTTATTAACTTTTTTAAGCAAGCTCCACTTTCTTTTTTGGAGTTAGGAAATACCTTTGAACAATAATTTTAATCCGAGTAAAGGACTACACTTTGATAATGAGAAAGTTGGATTTAGTGATACAGGGTGTTCTCTTCAATTTTTATAAGGGAAGTCCAGTATCTAAGCCCCGTAGTTTTTAGGTTATTCAATATTTTTCACAAAAGTACCTACCTAGTATTAAAAAATAAAAAAGACAACAGTTATTTTTATGAAAACACAAAAGAAATGCATCAAAATGTAAGTGATTATAATACATGTTCGAATTGCCTTCCATTTTCAGCTAGGCGTAGATCAATTCGCTCCTCAAAAGATTCAGGTGAAATATACTTGCAAAAATGTCAGCAATTTGTTGTTGCATATTTTCAGCAGTTATCGGTGGATCATTGTACCTGACGCATAAATTCTACTCGCTAATTATAGCAATTTCCATTACTTCATCTTTTTAATTAATCTTATTTTATTATGAAGGGAGTACCTACACTTGCATCAAATAATCAATTTGTGACATTTATTTACTTTCTGGTATTCTTTTGTTTTTTATTATCACGGCCTACTTCGGTGCATAAGCATAAATTAATTTATGGGTAGGTCCTTTTGTAAAAAATATTGAATAACCTAAAAACTACGGAGTTTAGGCACTGGACAATGGATATCCCTTATAAAAATTGAAGAGAACACAACAGACGATCGAATGGCGAAATAAAATACTGATATTTCCGAAATTCAAAAAACAAGGTCGCTAAAGTGGAACTTGTGTATGGGGAATTATTCGGAAAAATTATTAATGGTAATATTGACAAAAAAAGTGAATAGCGTTCAATGTAGATGTTAATAAATGACATCAAAACATGCAAAAATATACAGGGTGTTCTAATTTAAAAAAAGTTATTTATTGAAACCGTTAAAATAGGACACCTTGTACATTCAAAAATAATTTCTATATAGTTGGCATTTGCACACACGGTTTTTTATATTTTTTGAAAGACCACCGCATTGTTACAGTCACTGAATTTAATGCAAATTAGCTGGCGCCAAATTTAATTCTTAAACCGAAGGACTTGGCCAGCTTTATACATTTGGGAAATTATGATCGTACGCAATGCAAATCAGAGAGCATAAACAACAATGCGGTCGTAAAGATTAATTAGGTATAAAATTATTTAAATTACGACATAGCTAACGTACATTGTAAGCATTTTGCGTGCTTTCTTTATACGAGTATGATTAGTGTCTTTATTATACTTTAACTACCACTAACTACGCATAACTTTGCATTTACACGCGTAGGCATTTGTACGAAAAAATTACCCGACCGTTTTCAGTGCGCGCATCGAGAATCAAGATCGTGCTTAATCAAATTACAATGGCGACCCTTTGCGCTTCTCACGGCTGAAAAAAAAATGATATATACCAAACTTAATTATATCAATAATCACAACAGAACGTTGTAATTAACATTTTAAAAGTTCCGCTACGATTCGAAACAATATGTCAGTTTGTTGTAATAGGCTCGACGGGACTCGAAACAGCGGGACGGCATTGGGCTAATTTTGTACACGCCGGGGGTTCTTTGGCTAAAACCGCCCCTGTTTAGGATCGTCTCAGATTCCTTCTAGTTCTCGAATCCGTCATATTTACACTAGCAATATAAAACATTAATTTAATTTTGATCTTTCGTTCCCCTTTTTTTTTCTTTAATAAATACATTAATTTTTTAACCAATTAAAGCTCGAATTAATCCGATACGTTCCACTTAAAAGGAGAAAGGCGATTTTTATAAATCTAATTTAATAATGGCCGCGCGTAGGTACGTTATTCTTATTAATTAATGCGATGGATCCAACAACAAAGGTTGATATGGCAACGCTCTGGCGAGGGTGCTAATCATACAATTAGTCGATGGTTACAATTCGTGCATGCTTCGAAAGAATCGAAGGAATAAAAGAGCAGACCCTAAATATGGTGATAATAAATAAGAAAGTGTAATTTTATTGAATTTTTGAAATGTTAAAGGCGGATGATTGTAGGGTTCTCCATACAAATCGTTCAGACGGTTATTAGCAGAGCTGGATTCTCATCACGACTAATAGAACCAGCACGACTCCCAAGAACTTATTATTGATATTATTATTCTTTATTATCGAGCCGATACTCATTCAACAACAACGCCACAAAAAATTTTCGGCCTCACCGCGAGGTTAATGCAAAGTATATGCAACTGATTAATTGGCGATTTCTAAAACCGACAATATCTGCGTATAATTTCATGGAATTACTTAATGAGTCCGCCTCCTTTTTACTCTCTTAAGAGATTATGTTGACATGAAAGAAAGTTGACCGCTAATGCAATTTCACTTGTAATTATTTTTCGATTAATGCGCTTCGTAAGGCAAAAAAATTAATTGTTTTGAAGAAATTTATACCCGTTCGCGCAGTGCGTATAATGATAAATTGACATTCTTAATTAAGGTAATAAATCTCACCTGTATTCTTGCTTCAGTTAATCCTATCTTCATTGCTAATTCCTCTCTGCAATTAGAAATACAGCGTTAATCAATGAATTTACTTTATTATAATATTTTAGTACACACCCACCAACTGCCTTATATATGTATGTTGGATGAATCATTTTGAAAATTCAAAGAATAGGCAACTATACACGGCAAAGTGCGAAAATGTCTTTAGTTTCTGTTTTATTTTTGTGTTAATCCACTATCAAACTAGTAAATTATAATAAGACACTATCCCACATTATTTGTTCCATTTCGTGTTCCGAAACATAATAGAAAAAACTGTAGGAGAAGGTAGAAACAAAATCCCTTTCGGCTCGATCGATCAGGTGTAGGTAGATTTCTATAAGTGTCCCAATATGGCGGAATTGGCTGGTTCACGAACTTGAACGAAATATTTATCAGACCCTTAAAGTTTGGTCGAAATCGGTTCATAGTTATGAAAGTTAGAGTGTTTCTTGGAAGTGATATATATGAACCTAGAAACGTATTACCATTACCATTACAATACGTAAAAGAAATCTACCTAAAATGAAAATCACCACGTTAGTAAACCACGCTCGGTGATGGCGCCCAGATGTCGCCGAAATCACATCATGTAGCCTCCTCACATTGTTTAAACAATGAACTTCTAATTTGGGTACATATTAGTCTTTATGCGACTAAGAAAAATCGGTTTTCCGGCGGAATTCGAGTTTTGTGGGTGCAAATTAGTTTTTTATTCGATTTGGGCAAAGTACCAACTTTATCGACCTATAAAAGCTTGCATTATTTTTTTCTGCTTTAATTAAATCGCTGAAAGTAGGTATAACACTTATTATTAACATGATAAATATAACCGTTGCTTTAATTTTTCCGATTGAATATGATATTATACAAATGAACATAAACGTTATTAACATTGTAACTAATTATATATACGTGATGCCAATTACCCGAGATTAATGATATCAAATGGCGTTCAAAATGTTTAATGTTGTTTTAATTACTGGAAACCTGATAGCTTGAGTCGATGTGATTGTACCTGTCGACGAAGTCTAGAATACAGGGTGTTTTTTTGGGATCTTAGAGATCTTGAAAAGGCGATAGCTTTATTATTACTAAGGATATACAAAAGAAGTCACTCCTATACAGGAGAAAAAATAACATACAATTGCAGTAATAATGATATTAGTGGCAAGAGATTTATAAGCTACTGTAGTGGTGTTAAACTTTGGATAGAAATATAATACATTGTGAACCTATCTTTCTTGTTATGAGTAAAAATCAAGTAGCATGGTGACAAAAGCAAGGACAAAACAAGTGACAAAAAATCAAAAAGCGAATAGCGTTCAACGTAGATGTTAACAAATGACATCGAAACATGTAAAGATATACAGGGTGTTGTATTAAAAAAGTTATTTATTGACACCGTAAGACCCTGTACATTCAAAAATAATTTCTACAGATGCGCAAAGATGAATTCAAGTCACTCTGTATATTTAAACCCCATAAAGCCACGTTGCCAAATAAATGCAATTATCGTAATTACACCCTAGGTACAACCCAAACAGAGGATCAGCATTTTTTACACACGTAATGATTCACTTTCACGACGAAAAACCGAAATCATTTTTAATCTATTGTGATCTACCTAAGCGTCATCGGGACAGGTAAAAGCTACCTAATTGAGCATTCTTTACAATGCCATTTCTCGCGTCCGACCGACAAATTGCAGGTAATAAGGATGTCAATCCCCATACACCGCCGATACCTTTTGAACCTGCCGCGTTTTCCTCTCGAATTTTCGGAGCCAAATAAAAAGAAAGTGGCGCGGAACTTAATTTTATGCCTCGCGAATTACTACGCCGTTCGAGCGGGGTGGAGATGATTAAATTTTTATCGAGAAGATTGCGCCTGAAAATTCATTTATATACACCATTATTAACATTTTCAGCAGTTGTTAAATAATGACTAAGTGAGTGTGCGTTCATTACTGTTTGGTAGCGTAATAGCCGGAAATTACCGGTTACCGAACAACCAATTACACGCATACATGGTATCAAAGATGCGGCACATATTCGTACTCAATTTAATTAACTCGAAATTGGGGGGTTCGCGTTCGATTTTAATAAGAATAATTAAGTGTACGCCTTTACGTAGGTTAACATACGAACCTTGTAAAAACGTCAGGATAGTGCGTTCTCGAGAACGCCTTCTCCAATTCTTCTAATTGATAACTGGTAAACGTGGTCCTGTAGCGTCGCTGTTTTCGTTTTGGGGCGAATTCGTCCGGTTCGGGATCGCTCCCGTCGCTTTGGTCCGGCGCGCCGGTGGTACGCGGTTCCATTCCGGCGTTTGGGGTCAATTCTTCAGATACTCCCATTATGTCTGGGTTCGAATCAGCCGATGGAACCGGTTCTGTAATAAAAATTTACAAATAACAAATCTATCCCCGGTAAACTACCTTAAAATTGAAACTATTTAAAAAAGGGTGTGAATTTTTTGTAATATGTGGCAAAAAAACTTTTACGTTATACAGAGCGTTACAAAAATTGTATGCCGATTGTGTGCAGCCAATTTCTATGACAAAAAATTTAAAAGTTTTGAATAAACTCGTATTTTAGTAAGTAACATGACGTTACTGTTAGGGATGCCGTATTTCTTGAACGTATAGGTATCTGACATACATATAGATATGTTTATTTTAACTTTTTTTCTTGTCGTAGAAGCCGGCTGCATATAGTCAGCTCACAATGTTTGTAACACCCTGTATAATTCAACAAACTAACTGATTTTTAGCTTCCTTGCTTTGAACTAGGTGTCTCCTGCGATCACCGTTTTTTGGACATGTCAAAATTTCATCAAATGTCGGAGGACGTTTTGGGTCATTTTAAGTAACTATTAAAGAATAAAAATGTTTTGTCTATGTATGTATGTGCAGGGTGGTTTAAAATCGTGACATATACAGTGTAGGTTAAATAGACGTGCAAGGTTGATCCTTTTTCTATCTAAAAAAACGCCATTGATATTTTTGAAAAACTTTAATATTCATTTTCCCTAGTTTAAACAGTCGGAAGTGGACGGTTTCCGGTAGCATCTTACGTAGGCACTTTTTTTGGGAATCTGAATTTGTTATCAAAATTTCCATAGCACGCTAGATGTTGAAGTTGCAGGCTACTACTTTCTTATTTCTTATGGGCGCCATATTGGATTTTTACGGGAGGAGATAGAGAACAAAAAAAGAAAAATAATGAGGTACCACACTCTATTCTTTGACGAGAAAAATTTCAAAATCAGAACCTTTGCGTTCATTTTTCACCAAAACATCCGCGGGTAACTAGATTTTGCTGAATCAAGATGGCTATGAGCCTATGATGGCGATGCATTCAATTATTCAAATGAATTTATTTTTTTGTACTCTCTCTCTCATTCCGTAAGAATCCAATATGGCGCTCATAAGTACTATGACAGTAGTACCCTCTAGCTTCTACATCTAATGCGTTATAGAAATTCTGATAACAGATTGATATTCACCGAAAATGTGCCCTTAGAAGGTGCTAACGGGAACCGTCCATTTCCAACCAATTTAAGCTAGTGAAATTTAACATTTTCAGTTTTTCAGTTATATCTCAGATATTTTCAAAGGTTTTTCAAAAATTGCCAAAGTGTTCTTTTAGGTCACAAAAAGAGGCAACGTTTAAGCTACACTGTCCCAATGGTGAGCCATGAATTACGTATAGAATACGTTAGCAATTTTCTGAAACAACGGCTCGAAAGATTTTGTTCAAATTTTGAGTGTGTATATTACACATACGGAAACGAAAAATAGGGGGCCGGATTTCTCGAAAAAATTTTTAAAACGCCGCATCATTTTTTCAAATAACTGACAATTTTTATTAAATTGTTCTAAAGACCTATTTTGCAAATGTACCGTGTGTCCTAACAACTCAAAGTTGGTATTTTTAAATGCAACATCATGTATACTTAACGTAAATTTTTTTGCATTCTTTTTCCTGATTACAGTGATCACAGTATCACAAACTACATTTATTTAAATTTTAGCCATGAACCAAAAATAGAAACCTTATTTTTACGGTTTATACATAGGCCATGGATTCATTGCGATTTTGTTTTGTTTATTGTATCCATGGTAACTAAGACCAATCAATAAACATGACTGACTGTAGAAACATGTCTTTTCAAGAATTGGAAAAATCTGATCGTTATCATACATCAATATAATCAGGAAACTGACGTTAAGATATACAGAGTGTTGCATTAAAAAATACAAACTTAGGATCAAGTCTCAAAAACGGTCGCCCAAAAAAGTTGCTTTCTGTTTAGTTTTAATGCGAAGAACTTAGGATAAAATATCGACATGTTAAAATATTAGTGTACAGTGGCCCAATCCGAGGTACTGTATTTGGGAACCTGTCGTAGAGGCTTGCGGTAAAAAAATTTATTACTACAACGGCCGCTAGGGGACGTAACTGCAATCTGGAATCTAAAAAAGTGATTTTTCTGTTAATTCCGCTATAGTAACCTAACTTCTTTGAAGTTGACGAACCTTTTTTGTTTGACAATTTTTCCTGTATCTCTAAAAATGAAGTGGTGGGGGGTATTCAAAGGTTTCCGTAAAGAACACTCTGTATCTTCGAAACGACTGAGCCGATTTTAACAAACTCGGGTTAATTGCAAAGAGTTATTCTTCGGCTACAAATATTATCATATGTGAAGTTTTGTTAGTTTCGCTTATCGCCGCTTGAGGGCATTTTTCGACATTCCGACAGAAATGGTTAATTTTCTCAAACAAATTAAATGCATTGGACCGATTTGTTTTAATGAAAAAGTAGCTAAATGATGCCTAAACAAGCTCGCGAAAACCGCATCTCGATATCGGCTCTGTATTGATTAATATCGCCTTCTTCAAAAACCTTTTTGTGGAAGTTAATTAAAGACTGTAAGATTTTTTTTAAAGGGATGACACTGAATCTGTGAATTGACACATTTGCAAAATCTTAAATAAAATTTTTGTTCACTTAGAATATTTTGGTTCGGCTTCAATGACCAATTTATAACCGATATTTTTACTTTCCATTTAGAAAGTCGATGTACTACGACGATCACAAAATATTATAGAATCGCATAAAATTGACAATTTAAATAATTGTATATATTTGATTAAATTAATTCCCAGAATAACGTAATACTTGCGCAATTCATAAGATTGAGCCTGATTCAATTTTAATTTTTAATAAAAAATGACGGAAACACAAATTAAAAATGAATTAATAATGAAATAATTAAAAGTTAATTTCACGGCTGGGTGGTGTTCATGACAATCACAAGAGAAGCTGTTTGTTTACGAGACCAATTAAATCATTAACTAAATGAGAATTTTTACGGTGAATTGTTATGCCCTAGAAATTTGAAGGTGCCTCGTTTTTTTTCTGTTAATTCCCCATTGTTTTAGATTAGGATTTGAAAGAATAATTTAGGCGTAATCCGTTACCGTTTATTGCCTCTTGTCCATATCGCTTCTGAGCATTAGCTTTTAAAAGGTTGTATGGGAAAATAGGGTCATATGTCTCTTTAATAATAAAGAAATTGTCCTAAAAAAGTGTCGAAAGGAATTCTATTACTCACTGTCTCATTTAACATAAATTAAATATTCATTAAGTACAAAGTGGTATTAGAAGGAATCGAATTTATTATTAAGTACATTAAGTGGGTTGTAATGCATGTAAACGATAATAAGAAAGGCGTGTACGAGCGCTATTAAAATTATGACTGGCGGTTATGTATTTATACAGTTTAATGAAAAGCTTTGTGAGACGAAAGAGGTTTTGAGTACGGACACAATACGACAAAAAAGGCAGACACTTATTATTTCTAACTTAGTAAATTTTAGAAAAGTGTAAAAGGTAATAGCAGGAAGTTATGACATAGTTAGGCAGGGTAAAAAGCATTTCCTGTACCGATAATTACCGCGCTCTGAACTGACGAAAATTTTGTGACGTTTCGACCTAATTCATTTCTTGCGCCCTTCGGTTTTCATTTTTGATAACCCGCGCGATATAAGTAGGTAAAGTGGTAAAGGTACTCGCACAATGCGGGCCGTGTTTCTGTTCTTTAATTACAATAATTACATTATATGCGCGTTCCGAGGAAGTGCGTCCCTAATGACACGTAATTGTTGTAGTCAATTAGTAGTAAAACCCTCCCTGGGCATTTCGGCCCTAACCGCCCGGGTACCGATCTCTTTCACTAATGTACAACATAAGCGGAATCCTCATTATGTTTAATGTCCGATAATTACAATTTATTGGTTATTTTCGGTTTATTATACAAGGGCGAGTCATGCGAAAAGAAAATGTAATAAACACTTCGTATAACCCCATAAAAATATCAAGTTATGGATACCCACCTTTTATTATAAACTCCGCATTAAATTAAAACGATATATTATGGGTAAAGGTCGTTGTTCAAAAAGTCGATCAACTCGTTTACCCGGACACCTGCCTTTTCAGATCACGCATTCTGCCTTTTTCACCGCATCATCATCGCCGGCACGAAAATTGGCCGAAATCTCGCCACGGGTTCCTCGCAGCATAAACGTCGACCATAAACGGACAAAATTCTAATTATTGTTATTAAATTATTTAGCTAATTCGCCAAGTGGTTTCTTAATATAACTTAAACAGCCTCGTCGATTGTTCTTATCATCGGCGACATTTACGACCAATATTTTTATAACCGATAGGGCAATAAATGCAAATTTTTATTGTGAAAGAATGTCGTAAAACGCGAAGGACCATAATCTGAATCTGTCGCGGGCCAAACACGACAAAGCCTCGCACGAAAAGTGCTATTCCATCGAGCCATAAAGTCAAAAACATACCCCGCCACTTTTTCACTGTATAGGTTAGTATCGTTTTCACGAAAATCAGAGCCATGTGAGAATCAGAAGTGGAGGCAGCACATGCAGCAAAGCCTCCTTGATCTCATCAAACCATGAACACGAGCTCCGTGAAAATGGAAATTGGATGGAGTTCGATCGACGATATACTTATTACTCCGTTCACTCGAATGACATGCAATCTAAGTTTGGCGCACCCTAAAGCCACCCGGTCCGAATGTACCTTAATCCGGCACTGTGTTTTTAAGAGCAAAAGAGAACACATTTTGGTCATTTTAGTTGCTCAATCAAGAATGTTTTCAATGTGCTGAAATTTTCCGGTGGAATATGGTTTCAGGGTTCACTATCAATGGTCGCTTTAGATTTGAACCCGTGCCTAGCCATTACTCTATTTTTGCGGACAAATTTGACTTTGTCAAAGGTTTGATTAACCAGGGCGAGTATTGGAGAATTGTTAATTTCAAAGGTCTATGGCTGTTCATAGAGTCATCGATAACTC